CCCCTAGATAACTTCAGTAGACTCTACCATACATTTATCTGGCGAGTCCATTATGGTCCACAGTGGTGAAAAGGTTAATTACAAAACGAACCACTGTGGTCTGATGGGATTCCCACAGGGTTTATCACTCAAAGAATCTAGATAATACTTGGCTCTGTGTGTCCGTAGCTACGGGAGGCTCTGGAGGAGAAGTTAAAGCTGAACCTGAAGAGCCACAAGCAGTTTGTGGAACAGGAAATGATCACCATCATGGGTCTGATGGACTCCCCCACCATGATCAAAGACTTCCTCTTCCTGGGATCAGAGTTTAACGCCTCTAATCTGGAGGAACTGACGGAGAATGGGTATGTAAGAGTTAGGAATTGATGGTACCAAACCAGGGCCTGTTTTCATGAAACCGTTCTCATGCGCAAGATGAGTTTTGTGCTCTAGCTTGATTTCTTGTTTAAATTATAAATTAACGATTTTTTTTTTTTTTACAAGATTTGGAAATCAATTGAAGAGACTAAAAGCCAATTACTGTTTTCTGAAGGAAGGGAGAAATACTGTTTTAGTAATTTTGTTTTGCAAGAGAAGGAGAAACAATATTGGCTAATAGGAGGAGACATATGTTTTTGTTCCCAAAAAAAACATTTTAACAAAGACATAGTTCAGAACATTGCTTTCAGAATATACATATGGAGTCTTGCGATAATATTAGTCATTTATACACTTCAGGGTGGATCACATACTCAATATTAGCCGTGAGGTCGACAACTTTTTCCCGGAGATTCTAACGTACATGAACATCAAGGAGTGGGACAATGAGGAGGCGGACTTGTGTAAACACTGGGACGACACTAACAAATTCATCGCCAAGGCCAGGTAAGTTAAATTATGGAATTACCGTATTCTGCAATAAGCCCAGGCTGACACATAAACTTGAACTAAAAGTAGGGGGTGGGCTTATGGCAGGACCATGAAATAGCACTTGTTAGCATTTCATCTGAACTGTATTTGACATAGGTGGGCTTATTACCA